CGAATATAGGTAGATACAATATACACACACATAACATAAATTGTAATCCTCACCATTCTCATATAAGAAGAACAAGCAAAAAAAAAAAAGAATAGGAATAATTTCCAGCAACAGATTTCCTTAGTCTGGATAAACTAAAATTAAAAGAAAGTAAAAAGGCGAAAGCAAAAAAATTACAGAAGAAATCGAAAAAAAAAAAAACTCGATAATCAATCATAAACAAATTCAAAATTGGTCATATCACTACTGTACCAGGGCTTAGGTAGAAAGACAAAATCGCCCCCAAGTTTATAGAATATTGTACGTTTTCTCCTTCAAGCCTCAACCCCAACCCAACCAGACTAAACCCTACTCTACTGTAGATTTAACATTTTTTGCTTCTTCTCCACTGCCAATCCTAGAAAGTTTGGAGTATCTTCGTGAAATCCCAGTTAGGATTATATTATTGCTTGAAAAATAAGAAATTCCCTTTTTCCCATTATCAAATTTTGTGCATCGTTTTCTTTATATCAATTTTTTTTTGGGTATGAAGTGAGGTGAGTAATTGAATTCTAGGATCTAAGTCGTGGATTTTATGTGGGTTAATTTTTTACTTTTGAATTTATTGCTTGAGATTTTTTGATCGATTTTTTATTTTTACCAGTAGATTTGTGCTTGTTCGTTGGCTAACGGAGTAGTATCCGCCTTTTCTTTAAGCTTTGAAGAAATGGATAATCCTTACAATTCTGTTTGTTAGCTAGAGAAATGCAAAATTTGAGGATTTATGGTGATTAGTTTAAACAAGGGTTGAATTGATTTGGGAATTTCGCCCCAAATGGATGAATTTTGTTGTGTAAAAGATCTTTAGCTTGTTTTAGTGGTAGCATGCCATTTGGATTGTTGGACATGGGCTTCCACGTTTTCGTTTTCTTATGTGAAGTTTCAAAACTTGTATGATTATATTTTGATATGGGTGACGGAAATTGTAGGGACTTCTCGAAATGGGTTGGAAAGCAGCACAGAAATTGATACATCATTGGAAGATTCTCAGAGGTGATAATGTAAGAAAGATGACGAAAGTAATGTGCCATTCTTTTCTTATGCCTTTCTTGTTGAAATGTTTGTTGTTCATTGTATCTCAAATTTTTTTCCTAACTTGCAGGTGATGATAATTAGGGGAAAAGACAAAGGAGAGACTGGTCTTGTAAAGCGTGTTGTTCGCTCTCAAAATCGTGTTCTTGTCGAAGCAAGAATTTGGTGAGCTGTTCTGCCTGATCTGTTTTACAAATTTTCACATTCCCTTTCATATGTTTTGGATCATATTGCTCGATGCTTCCTGAACAAATTGCACACAAGATGCCCAATTATGCTGTCTTATATTACTTCTTTTTGTTTTGTGTGAAAGCATGATTGACTGTAATATAGGAAGCTCCAATTGTGTGAGGCATATAGCAGATATTGATGATTCTATTTGTTATTTTGGTAAGCAAATTTAATTGGAATGGGTGTTTCTCATTGAATTGTTCACTGGAGCACATGAATACCTTCCTGAATGTCTTACAACAAATTGAACGACAAAGTAATTACAAGTATTGGTGCACTTTACTGCATACTGGTCCTCTTTTGTTCAGTGGAGAGTCATTCTCCTGAAGCATCTTTCTGGGTGAAGAGGAATTGAAAGAAGAGGATTAGTGCTTCACTATCTCTCTCATTATTTCTGTCTCTCTCTCGCTATTCTCCTTGGGTAGGAGCAATAGATTGTGTTGCTTGATTTTTTTGGATGAGAGAAAGTGGTGATTTACAGTTTCATGGAAATCATTTAGCTGTTACCTAACTTTGTGTGACTTAGATATGGAGGACCTTAATAGAAGAACAAGCAGTTGGTGGATGATGTTGTATTTAAATTTTTGACACCTGTTACTCATGATTCAAAATGAATAGGCAGTCAATGATGTTATGTATCCCTTGTGTTATATTTTGAAATTTGAGAGCCATCTTATGGAGAACCTCCTTTATAACTGCATGATAATCTATTGCTTTCACACACTTGATGCTATAAGGATATTCAGTTGAGAGCTGGAGGGTATGGATGAAAATTATGTGTATGAACTTCCATGTTCACTAGTGTTTGGAAGTCTTCACTTTTCTGTGTATTTTGAAACGGAATATCATTTTCAAATTTTCTCCTTGCAGGTTAAGAAACATATCAAGCAGGGGCAAGGTCATGAAGGTGGATCTTTACAGTTGAAGCCCCATTGCACGTCTCAAATGTCCAGGTTGTAGATCCGGTGACAGGGTACGCATGGATGAACTAGTTAACTGATCCTATCTAGGTCAATTTTGCTTGCAAGGAAAGGGTGATGATGGTCTCTTGTTTGCAGGAAACCATGCAAGGTAGGAATCAGATATTTGGAAGATGTTCCAAAGTAAGAGTTTCCCGAGTATTGGATCATCAGGTTCTATAATTCCCCGCCTGAGATCTTAAAGATAAGAACAACACCAAGACAACAGTTGGTAATGTTCAGCTACCTTTGTTACTTATCTGCTGTTATGTTGTTTTGTCTTAGATTCCAGAATACTTACAGCATTCACACCTTGTCAAGATCTGAGAATTGTTCTTGGATGTAATTTATTGAACCTTGTCATGAGTTTAGGACTGCTGCTCATTGTTCACGTGCTTATAGTGACTGAAACCATTTGTCCGTATGGTTTTTGATGAGTACTCTCAATGTCTTTTTGACAATTACAATTAAAACATGTCAGTGTGAGGAAGACTAGACCAGCCTGCTAATTGCAGGTAGTGTGGTATTTCAAGAAGTTTAAGTTTGTGGTGTCTTCTGTTTTTAACTACCGAAGTATGTTCTAGCATTTGAAATTCCCTTGTGAGAGTACGAAAGGTTGTTTCTGCTCAACTTCTGTTTTTACTGCATTTCTTTTGCTATTTTTTCCCTGCATCTTATTAACTGCATTTTCACTCTTCTATGCAGCTGGTCCAAGGACACTCCAATGGACGTAGTACTGGAAAGGACATATGATCCTAAAACTGGGTTGGAATGCCTGATCTTTAAGCCTAGTCATGCTTCAAGTTTACAAGATCTTGGATTGGCTTCTTATCACCTCCTGAGTATTGTAACTGATCTTGATAGTGCTCGCTGGCACTTAGAAACGTGGGATGTGTAACCAATTTGCTGTAGTTAGTGGTGTTAGCCTCTTGTGATGATAGGAACCACCATTCTTGAGATATGGGAATGGTAAAACTAAGTCACTTTTTGATTGAAATAACTAAGAAGCTGCTTCTGCACTGACAGGGATTGTGAAATTTGAGATGCCTAGTCTATGAAAATTCACATGGATTGCATCAGAAATGCATAGCTCTATACTTTTCAACTAGTACTAGGTAATTATCATATAAAAATTCATGTGCTTAAGAAGTTAGTTTTTTTTTTTTTTTTGGCTTAAGAAATTGGTTTACTCTCTTGAATAATAAAGGAAACTAATATACTAACTTAATCTAAATTGGTTTGATAATTTATAAATCAAAATAGTTCGTGCATTTAACCTTGTTTAAACATTGAAATGATAATAACTCATTTAATTTCAACTCATCTTATCATATAACAACTCCATACAAGATTGGGGCACTATTAGTTGAGATTTGGCTCCATCAACTGTAATCAATTCATCTCATTTAAACTCATTAAGTTATATAACAATTCGGAGTTGGGGTAGCAAAGATTGAGATTGGTGCAAATAATTCTGATGATTGTACTTCTTAAAATTTATTTACACAAAAATTTACATTTGTTAAAGAAGTTGAAATAGATATAGATGAACAAAAGACTCGAGCATAATTTTTGTTAGAGGTGGCAATTTTCGACACGACCTGAAAACACGACACGAACCTAACACGAAATTAATGGGTTTGGGTTGAGGTTTCGGGAATTCGGGTCAGAATCGGGTTGGACCCGATGAACCCGAAAAGAAACAGGTCGATTTCGGGTCAACTCGTGGTGACCTGATATGACCCGATATGACCCGTTTACGAATTAAAAATAATTTAATAAACATAAAAATATATTTTATCTAACTAAACTAAGTTATTCTTTTTTTCAAAGGCATTAATTACTTAATCCTAAATGAATTTATTTAATTTGTGTGAAGTTGAAATTATTATATTTGGACAAATAATATATTATATTATTTTTACTTTTATATTGTTTTAATTTATTTTGTTTTGTTTGGGATAAAACACTTTTACGGTGTTTAATTTATTTTAGATTTGGTTTGGAATTATTTATTTAAATTTTTATTACTTGATTATGTAATTAGTTTTGTGAAATTGTTTTATTAGAAATTACAGTGATAATTAATAAATTAAAATTAAGTTTCGGGTCATTTCGGGTCGACCCGTCAACCTGAAATTTTCGGGTTCGGGTCAGCATACCTGACCCGTCACGGGTTGACGGGTCGGGTTCGGGTCAACAAATTTTCTGCGAGTTGACCCGAACCCGACCCGCCAACCTGATTTGGACCCGAATTACCACCCCTAATTTTTGTTAAAATTGGTTATCTTTATTGACTTTTAACACGATCTTTATTAAAAAAATTAATCTTTCTTATTTCTTATCGACTGGGCCAACCTTTTTAGAAGCATAAGCAGAAATGCCTAAACCAATTTGTATTATTGGCCAGGACGTGTTTATGCTTTATAACTAGGACAATTAGGCTTGTTTGAACTCGTTTATACTCTGCGGCTCCAGGGTGCTGCCGCCTGCTGTTCAGTAGTAAGTAGGCATGGCCATGTTCCATTTGGAACCGGGAACCGGACCGGAATCGGACCGTTTGGAACCGGACCAGAACCGGAACCAGAACCGTGGAACCAGAACCGTAATAGAACCTTGGATAAAGGTTCCGGTTCTGGTTCTCTAAAAAATAGAACCAGAACCAGAACCGCCGGTTCTAGAACCGTTTAAAAAAATTAAAAATAATTAATATAAAAAATAATTAAAAGTAGAGACATCATGATGATCATCATGATCCACCACAACCTTTTGGACCAAGCTCTCAACGGATCCAAGAGGAAAAATTGCAAAGAAAGGGCTCGGAAGAAAAAGCTTGTATTCGAAGAGAAAAAGGAGCTTCTTCAATTTTTGCTCTCGGGGGCTCCTGACTTGCACAGAGGTCCTCGGGCTCTCAACGGAAGAAAGAAACAACCATACGGAACCGGAACCGGAACCGGAACCGGAACCATAAGGAATAGAAATCAGAACTATGCGGTTCTGGTTCTACCTCTTTGAAGAACCAGAACCGCCGGTTCTGGAACCAGAACCAGAACCATTATATGTGCGGTTCTGGTTCTACCTCTTTGAAGAACCAGAACCGGCGGTTCTAGAACCAGAACCGTTGTGTTCTGGAACCGTGGCCATGCCTAGTAGTAAGCATCCGGGCCAACTGGTAACGCAGTGGAACTGCCTCTCAGGGAGTTTTTGGGCTTTTAAGAGTTGCGGCCGGTGTCCAGCAACAAGGGTCTTCGTATTGTGGAGGTAAATAATGTGGTTGGGGGCGGAAATGGAGCTGTGACGACATTCGTGAGATATTTCTCGAGAAAACGAGCACCCAATCTGCGGAAAATCAACCCTAAGGTGCCGCAGCAAGAGGCCGCCGTCATTGCTGAATCTCTCTATCACATCATCAAGCAGAACGGCCCTCTATCCGTCTCCAACACTTGGAACCACGCCAAGGTAATATGCCCTTCAAAGCAAATTCTGGAATTACTACTCTGCTTAGAATGTTATCATTTTGAAAGTTATTATTGTCTTCTAGTTGTTTGATAAAATGTTTCAATGAACTAATGTGCTTATTTTGGTACATGTTTTATTGTGTTTTGTTTTTGGAGGATTACTATATAGTCGAGGAGAAATAGACTTTTATCGCATTTTTGCTACAGTTGTATATAGCAATAGCTGGTATTTAGTACTCAAAATTTATCCTGGTTTACTTCAATTATTTATCTATTCATTTTTAGGCATTATAGGAGCTGTTTTCTTAATGCCCTTCTCTAGCCGTGCACCTACTTTCACGATATCTTACCGTTAAGCCTCCCTGATGAGCAGTTTCACGAGGACATTTGTTTGACTTTGACCTTTATATTTCTCCTTGAGACCACACATTTATCTTTCCAAGAGAAATAGCCTATCCCAGGTCCCCAAAGCTCTCTTTATCTGGGATAATGCCTGTATTGAGGGGCAAATCATTTCCCTTGATAAAAGACAGATAGGTTAAACTACATTGAAGTCAGGAAAAAAAAGGAGAGACAATGAAGTTGGTTTTCAGAATAATTATTCTGTTGAACCTAATTTGATAATAGCTTCTTGTTCGAGTTTGTCAAGAAAGGGCACGTCCCTAAATTGGTACATTATGTTCCTCTCAGTTGCTTTCTTCGTATTAGGAAATATATTGGGGTGAAATATCAACCATGGCCAGTTTTTGTAGTTAATTTAGTGTCACTTTAGGAGAAACATTGCAGCACTGCCGAAATGGATTTGTATCCTGTATAAACCTAAGGAGACAATTTTTTATGGTACTTTTGTGGGCAAGGAAGTAATTTCTAAAAGAAATCTAGTACTTCTTCTCAACATCAAATATGTTGACAACATGAAAGATGTAAAATGTTTAGAGCATTATTTTCTTAACCAAACATCCTCATAGTATTGCTTCTGTGAACCCTTGAGTAAATATTGTTCCTGAATTGTTAGCCTGGGATCCAATTTTGAACTCATACCTTATCGAAGATTAACATCTCTAGCAAACTGGATGCTTTCCTTATACACCTACCCTACTACAAAAATGGTCATAAGATATTATGTTGGAATTTGATTACCTTTCCCAGCTCAACTTCAAATGATTACACGACTGACCTCATGTATTCTGATAATTGTGTCATGTTTTTAGTACTGCTGCTTTTTTATGCTGATTAATGCTTATAGAACCCTAACTGAGGGTTGGGAAGTTAAAGTCATTCTTGTAGTTCACTTTTAACATAGTTTACTTGGACAAAAATTGACAGGTTCCAGAGAAGAACTTTTTTTTTATGTAGAAATCTTTCTCAAAGTAACATAGTATTTCATGTTTAACCAAGTAGCCTTAATCTTTCTGTTTATAGTAATTGTATGATACATGTCTTTTGAAATGTTTATGTTGCTAGAATCTCAGGCACAAGGAAATGATAGCTGAAAATCTTTTTCTGTCTTAATTTGTCCCTATCTTATTGAAGCTGTCTAGCTTTCTGTGTTCATCTGTCTCTAATTTACGTCCCTTGCCAAAAATGACCATCAAATTTTCCTCCCATTTTCCATTTGAAACCCTTACACATAACTCTTTGCTTAAAACCTTATGTGGACTTTTATGCATGACACCAAAGAGAACTATTGCATTAGAAAAGCATTCCTTTATTTGTCTTTTCCTCTGAACTTGCTCCTTTGGTGCCACACATAAGCTGACGTGCGGCTGACACACTATTGCATTAGAATTTATTTTAAATTTTAAACACAATATTGCAGTGGAATTTATGTTATGTTTTAGTTTCACTGGAAGATTACAGATGCTGTTTTTCTGCTACCTGATTTATTTATTTATCAAGAATTATAGCAGTGATAAGGCATCCTTTGTTCATTTATTTTCACTTGTTGGACTTAACTTTTCTACTGTATTTACTCACACAACAAAATTCTGGTCCATTAATGATTCAAGCCTTATAGCTTGCCCATGCACACTTTGTTTGTCCTCTCTGATCAATTTCAATCAAACATCATAGATCAATCCTCATCTCTCTTCTTGTCGATATATATTGCAGGAAGCTGGTATCAATGGATTAAATAGCAAGACACACATGAAGCTGATGCTTAAGTGGATGACGGGTAGAAGCATGTTGAAGCAAACTTGTAACCATGTCGGCTCCAGCAAGAAATTTGTGCTTTCAACTCTGCCTGAAGAGTCTCAAGTCAACCAACCAAAAAATTCTGTGGATATGGTGCTTAAGTGTGAAAATCCAACACAAAAGGAGTAAGACAGGTGCAGTCCAAGACAAAAGGGGCTAAACAAGCACGGTAGTACACGTCAAAAGGAAAACAAGATGATTACATGCTTAGTGAGCATCAGAGAGATAAAATGGTTATGCCAGTGGTGAATGCATACACCGCGGTGTAGCTTTTGTCAAGCGCATTGGTGTCATCCTGGATCTATGTGGTTCTTATTAACGAAACTTTTAGCTACATGAAGCGATCTGTACGTGGCTTTCAGGTTATCCAAGTTATGAGACTTAGTGGCTTAATCCTTAACCTATTTGCTTTTTTCCAATGGAACTTTGTAGCTCTATGAAACCATCTGCATATTGCTTTTGGATGACCCAGATTGCGAGACTCAGTAGCTCTGTTAGTGATGTGTTTTTGGCCCGGAATGCCTCTCCAATCTCGATTGGCTGACTTATATTCTAGTACTGGCCTTCCCTTAGGGATTGGGTTTTGTTTCATTTTGAACCATTTTGCTCTGAGCGACTGGTGCTGTTCTTTATTGAGCATATCCTCAATTGTTTTGAGACATGGAAACATATGTTCGACCTGAAGGAGCTCCCTTTGACTCCCCGTTAGTTTGAGATCTTGAGACCATTTTCCCTCCTGTGCACTGCCTTTTTAAGATCTAAAAGTCTTTGGGATCATTTAGGCCGGGCTTGTTTTTTCTTTTTTTCTTTTTCCTTTTTTAGTAGAAAACTACAACTTTATTCATTAACCATTAATCAACCAACTAGATAAATCAGTCATAATAGGGGAAAAAGTAGTTCCAGGTGGATGCTTAGCCAGATTCAATAACCAGAGCCAAACAAAATTCGCAAGCTTAATTGGGCTTTGTTTTGATTTTAAACTTTCATGTTTGATTCTTGTTAATCGGATCGTTCTTTTTTAGGTCAATTGGCTGTGGATTTAGTTCGCAAGGTATAAAGTACCATTCTGTTCTGGAATTTCAGGAGTTTGACCTTAATTTGGCCGATATTTGTGACTCCTTTTTAGAATTTTAGCTTTTGTTTTTTGTGAAAAAAATAGATTCTCCTCAGCAAAAGGATCTCAAAAATATATACGAGAGTAAGAAAAAGATGACCTTGGGAAATTTCCAGCAATTCATAGTGCAGTTCTGGTGCTAACAGCGTATGATTTGTGATAGTGAAAGAGAAGAAGAGGAAAATACAAGGAAACCAAAAAGATAAATAAAGAAATTAAAACCCATTCCTGAATTATAGAACTACCAAACACTCGATGGAACCGTGAATCCATCGCTACTATCCAGTCATAACTGTCTATAAGCATCTATGAAAATAAAACCATTATCCCCAATAAGAAACTAAAAAGCTAAGGGTGTGTTTGGATCCTTGTTTTTGGAGCTGTTTTTGAAAAACTGTTTTTCGCATTCCAAATGCTACAGTAAATGTGTATTTCTAAAACAACTCCAAAAACACCATATCCAAACATTATATCAAAAACAACTACATATGTATATTATATATATATATATTATATTAATATAAATTGAAATATACAAATTGAAAATTATATATATTATATATTATATAAATATTTATATACATTAATATTATAAATAATATATTATAATATACATAATATAATATACATAATATGTAATATTGTATACATAAATGTGTAAATATTTATACATAATATATTATGTACATTATATTATAATATATACATTATTAATGTATAATATTATTATGTACATTATTGTGTATAATAATGTCTAATAATGTTAGGTATAATATATAATATACATAATATGTAATAATGTAATAATGTATATTATGTATAATATATTATATTATATGTATACAATATTATGTATATTATACAAATTGAAAATTATATATTATATTTATATATTAAATGAATATTTATATAATGAAATATACAATAAATATTACAAATTGAAATATTATATAAACACCATATTTATAATATTATAATATTTATAATTAATATTAATGTATATTATATATATTAATATTTATATATTTATTTATTACATATTATAAATATTTTATTTTACTTAAAAAATATTTTTGCATATTTATAATATATTTATATGAATATTATATATTATATATAAATTATATATAATATAATATATATTTACATTTATATAAATGTACATTTATACATAATATATATATATTAATGTATATTTATAATATACATTTATATTATGTATTATACATAATATAATACATTTATATTAATATACATAATATTAATTTTACATTTATACATAATATTAATACATTTGTACATTTATATTAATTATATTAATACATTTATACATAATATTAATATATATTAATAAAATTATAATTTATACATTTATATAATATTCATTTGTAATTTATACGTTTATAATAATATACACTTTTACATTTGTAAATATATTTATAATATGTATTATATGTAATATAATACATTTATATATTTTTATATAAATACATAAATATATTTATTTATAAATGTATATTTATATAAAAATATAAAATTTATAATTTATAATTTATACATTTATACATTTATGTAATATTCATTTATAATTTATAAATTTACAATAATATACACTTATACATTTATAAATATATTTATATTATGTATTATATATAATATAATAAATTTATAATAAATTTTTATATTTTTATATAAATATATTTATTTATAAATATTTATTAATGTATTATAAATCCATAAATGTATATTTATATAAAAATTATAATTTATAATTTATAATTTATATAATATTCATTTATAATTTATACATTTATAATAATATACACTTATACATTTATAAATATATTTATATTATGTATTATATATAATATAATACATTTATATATTTTTTAGCGAATATATAAATATATTTATTTATAAATATTTATAAATTTATTATAAATGCATAAATGTATGTAAAAATAAAATTATAAAAATACCCAAAAATATGTTTTAAAAATACCTCTAAAAATAATCCAAAAAAATCTTCAGTAAAAGTTTTTCATATAGTTTTTGAAAAACAACCTAAAAAACAACTAATCCAAACGGACTTGTATTTCAAAAACGAAATGCTACAGTGCTGTTTTTGAAAAACAACCCCAAACAGCTATAATTTTTAGACATCATCTGTAGCAATTGTAGTATCAAGTCATTTCTTCATGGTACACGTCAAAAAAAAAATAAGGGATTATAATAATTCTAGAGGTCGATTTTATATTTCATATCTCATCCTGCAATGCAAGCCCCGTTCCATAATAGGTTAGCTTAAGATGCTTGTGATAATTACAGCCTTAAAGAGTCAGAATCAGAATTCAGAAAAACATCCATGTGAAAACTACAACCTTAATGTCAGGCAGGCATCGATTAAATTGCATCTTTCAAGAATTAAACAGAAATTAGTCAGACTTCTAATGATACAACACATGTATTGAGATTAGTACTTCTAACAAAGTGGTTCCCACGATGCCTCCTCCATCAAGCATAGTTCATGCTTCTATGAGCACACAAGAACCAAGAAGACACGCGAAAGCATCCACCAAACGCTACCCTTTTCAGAAAATACATCAAATGCATAGAAGGAAACATAAACCCTTCTTCCCAACACAAATGGCAAACGCATGTAGAAAAAAACAGATGTAAAATATTAAGTGATTTAGAACACTAATACACAAGCCAGAAGAAACAGCTAAAATAATTTACACAAACCAGCAAGCAAAGACTCCCTTTGCAAACAAAGACAGATCCGAGGGCTCACTGTACTTGCCATCTCTAAAAACACGTAGACCTAGACTGCTTGAAGATCATTTCAAGTGCCCGACTGTACAGACAGACAACTTCAGAATATGACAGAAGGGACCTCCAACAGGAAACATGAAAATGCAAAAAACAATACTTGCACCTATTTTTACAGAACTGTTGCAATTTCATTTTGGAGTAGTAATTCAATAACCACCAACATGCTGCCTTGATACATTCCCATATCTACCAGGTGTCGCATGTCCGCTCCCGTAAGCTGGAGGAGCATTTACTAGACCAGGACAATCCCTTGCCCAGTGCCCTGATTGATGGCATTTGAAGCACTCACCACCACCAGCATTTGCAGCAGAAGATACCCTATTGCTAAAGCTACCACCATATGACTGTCCCTGATTACTTGCAACACTTGGACAGTTCACAGAGCTGTGACCAGTTCCACCACAGCTCGTACAGTTGGAATACATGCCAGTTTGCCTGGTTGGAGGAAACCTAGAACCACCAGATTGACTTCCATGGGAAGTTCCTTGGTAATTTGTGTTTAACCCACTTTCCCTACCGATACTAACTGTACTTGCATTATAATTTGACATAGAGGATGCAGGATCTCTAGTTCCACTTCCAAAACCAGTAATATTTTGTCCAGAGCTTGGGATGACATTTTCTGTCTTCACAGGTAGAGAACCATTGTCATCATTTTTCATCTTATCTACCAAGTCCAGCACATATCTGGTTTCGGACTCAAAATTGATTCTCTCAGCTCTAACTACTGTAGACTTTACACGCTGCTCGTCGCTAAAAGTCTCCTCCTTTACCTTCAATTTAAAGATATATTTCTTAAAGACAATACTACGCATTATTTCATTGAATCTGTCATCATCTTGCTCCTCATATTTCATGTAATACAAATTTTTTGCAGATTCGCCAATGATCTCCTCACCAGATTCCTGAAAAGCAGTAACCCATGTTAAACCTGTGTGATCCTGAATCTGAAGCTGGAGAATGTATCTGTAGTCACATTCATCAAAAGTCTGGTCACACCTATCACATTTCCATCTTCCATCACCATTATTTGTAACCTTTTTGTTGCATTGCCGATCCCCAATTCTGTTGGGACAAGCAGTATAACAAAAGTTGTCCAGTTTTATAAATGAAAGAGTAGCACATACAGTGATCCAGTCAGGCTTCTCAGAAGTGCCCAGCCTTTCATTTTTTTGTATAG